TCATCTCCAAAAAGATGGAGGTGAACTTATTTGATATTTAGGATTTATGATACATAAAGATAACAAATTATCGGAGACGACGAAAAATTGTGGGGTATCTACAGGTAAGCGGATACTGCTTCCTCATATCAATATTTAAAATTTTACACCCGTTATATTGAAAGAGCGCAAAATGAGAGACGGTTGATGAACCGAACAGGAGCTTTTTCCGTTCAGCTGCTCCACTACGTAAAAATGTTGAAAATAATGAGCAAATCTTTGACGCTATATAAGTAGCCGCAAGTTCTATGTTAGAAAATTAAAATAGGTGTTCATTCAAAACTAAAATGTCAAGTGAAAAAGCGAGATCTCTTTCAACTGCCGAAGATTTTGAAAAATTAAGTGTGGAACATGCTGAGCTTGTGGACGAAGAACCTCAATCTCTTACTGCTGAACATCATGATTTTCTCATGAAAAGACATGGTTCAATACAGTTGCATCCTTTACCATCAACAGATCCTTTAGACCCTCTTAACTGGCCCAATTGGAAAAAAAATTATGAAATAATCTTGATAGCATTTCATGCGTTTGGTTGTGCATTTATGCAAGCGGGAATATCTCCTGCTTATGAAGCAATGTCAGAAGAATACGGTAAGTCTATGACTGAAATATCATATTTAACTTCAGCACAAATATGTGTCGCTGGTATAGCTCCATTCCTTTGGGTTCCCATAATGAATGCATACGGTAGAAATGTCTTTTTGGCCTTCTCAGCTTTAGCTTGTTGCGTTCTCAATATAGGTGGAGGATTTTGTTCCACTTATGGACAGCAAATGGCTTGCAGAATTTTGGTTTGCTTTTTTGCCTCGACAGGAGCTGCAGCAGGCAGTTCTGTCGTAGCTGATTTAGCCTTTAGCCATGAACGAGGTAAAAAAAATGGGTGGTGGTCTCTTGCACTTATTATGGGCACACCTGGTGGCCCTTTCTTCATGGGATTCGTCCAATACCATGTGGGTACTATGTGGATATATTTTACATTTGCAATCATGAATTTCATTCAATTTATACTTTGGTTATTAGCAGACGAAACTGTTTATATCAGGAATCATAATAACCATGCTATACAGCCTAGTGCAAAGGGAATAATGAAGTGGTTTGGATTTTATAGCCGTACCCAAACCTTTACATTGGACAATACTTTTTAGACCCTTAAAGCAAGCTTTGAATTTAAATGTCTCTATGGCAGTTATTGCTTTGGCTATCACCTTCTGTTATGCAAATATTGCTCTTGTGGTTGAGATGCCTCAAACTTTTGGTGCATTATTCCATCTTAATGCACAGCAATTAAGTTTGCATTATATCGCACTTATAGTTGGCTCTATAATTGGAGAGGTACTTGCTGGGCCACTTTCTGATTGGTGGATGAAAGTATGCTATAAGAAAAGAGGAGGACAGAGAATAGTGGTTGATAGACTATGGTTATCTTATAATGGATTTATAGCAGTTATCGTTGGGTTGATTGTTTGGGGTGTTTACCTAGATAAAGTAGAGGAAAATCACTGGAACATTTCTGCATTGATAGGTGCCGCGGTTGCAGCGGCAGGGAATAATATTGTTGCAACTGTGTTAACAACTTTTGCTATTGATAGTAGCAAGTATGCCCCCGATGTTGGTTTATATTTGAA